AGGTGATGCTTATATTAGAGTTTATATTAGCAGCTTTGAGCATATTTTATAATTAATGTGGATATGTTGTTTTATGCTGGTTAATAGCTTCACCTCTTATATGGTGGATAACGGTGGAGCAGTTTGGACGACCACGTAAATTTGTTGTCATCAATCGCTGGGTCTACACTTGGGTCAGTTTATTTATTATATTTCCTTATTTTTTGGACTTATCTATTCTATTTTTAATAAATGCAGGACAATGAGTTCCAGACATTCAGGGAAGTCCGAGAAAGTGATGTGTCGTTGCGGAATACCGTCCTTGCTATTCACGTCACGTCAGACACATAGCTACGGGAGACAATTTTACAGGTGCCCGCGGCGGGGACAAGGACCTGAAGACTGAGACTGCAAATTCTTCAGGTGGGCCGACAATACAGCTGTGTCTACGATATCTCAATCGGACACAGCTGCTAGAAGTTCGATAGTACCACAACAGGAGACCACCGCATGTGGTTTGAGTTCTTCCGTTTCTACGATATCCCAGTCGGACAGGTTTGCTCGGTATTTTGAGGTATCAGAACCGAGCAACATTCGTCATGATGTGCTTTTACATTTTAAAGTCAATGTTGTCATATTTTTCCTTGTAATTTTAACATGTTATTTTTTCCTTTTTTTTGGTCATATTATAATTCATATTAGTGTGCGAATGTATACTTCACTTTCGTATCTGTCTTTGCGCTTATTTGATGTAATCGGAACTTATTGACTTATATAAATATTATTTAAATCTTTTGCATTTTCATTTTGTAACATTTCAAAAAATAATAAATTGTTACACAGATTAGTCATTTAACTAAAAAAATTTATAAATAAGTTGTTTACAAAACACACTAACCAAACAACTAAACAACTTATTCAAAACAAGGGCAGAATTATTCAAAATACAGAATCAGCTGTTTTCCAGACGCACTAACCAAACAGCCAGACAGCTTATCCGGATCAGCTGGTCATCAGCAGATTATCAGGATAAGCTACTTATCAGCAGAAACTGGATAAGCTGCAGCTGCCCCAAACAGACCCTAAAAGTATGTTCCTGTTTTGACTATTGGTACTCAACTGCGGGTGCAATCTGAAGCATTTCTTCTGCGGGTGTCCAAACATCTTGCGGTGCTTGCAATAGTAAGATTTTTGTTTCATAATGATTTTTTTTCAATAACCATTGTGAGCAGATCATGCTATACTTCTTCTACAACTGGTAGTGTAATATCTCTTTCAATCAAAATCCTTGCAATAGAGGGCCTTGAGAAATGAACTGTAGGTAAGTCTATCTGCAAAGGTTTTCCAATGATAGTCCCATGATAGTCCCAATTGCATTAGTCCCAATTGCATATAAGATATGTAGGTCAAAAAATTGAATCTTGAGTTCAGATAATAAGAACCAGATAGGTGCAATTGGGGGTTTTTGACTGAGTCAAAATCAGGGATCCATTTGAGCAATTTCATATGTTTGCCCTCTATTGTGATGAATTCCTTTGAGAAAATCCTCGTGTAATCTTTTTCTATGCTCAGCTGTATCATAACATGCCTTCCGTCGAAATGACGCACCTGCCAATCACTAAACAGTTTGAAATCTTCAAAAACCTTCCTGATAATCTCCATCTTAGGGCAACCTAATTGGAACTTTTCAACTTGTCTAAATTTATATTTTCCCGCACAGGTTGAAATTTCAGCGCGAACAAAAAAAATTGCTGGTTTGCCCGCTTTTTTCTTTACTTTTTTGATGAGATTGCAATCTTATTTTCTGCAACAGAATCATGGTACATCTGTGGGAATACCAAATTATTTGCGAGGTGAAAATGGGAGCTGCGTTTGTGAACCACTGTAACATAGGAGGATTTGATGAGATTATCACTGACGACGACGGCAACGTAGGAAAACCCTGTGGCCATTAGCATGTTTCACATAAGCATTGCAACAAATGGCGCAACTGGTACGCGAGCAGTCGAGCAGAGCCGACGGAGCAGTCGAGCGGACTTGAGATCCTACAGCGTGAAGCGTCTCAGACGCGAGCTGCAGACGACACGATAGACGAGAGCAGACGTCGCAACAGACGACGCAGATAACGCAACAGGCGAGCAGGTTCGACGACGCAAATTCCTTCGTCAGCCAGAGTCGAAGATGAAGACGAAAATGATCGAAACAACCGAGAGAAACATACATCTGTTTTGAGCTAGGGTTCTCCATGAGCGGAAACTCTAGCAGAGCGAAAAAGAAGACTCATCGCGTTTTTTGTTTATTAAGGCCAACATAAGTAATCAACATTGAAGAATACTTATACTTGTAGTCAGTACTGAGAGATGTTTTCTTTCAACATCAATTTTTAATTTAATGCTTTCATGGATGATAGCTTTTAAGTATTTTACCTTCAATAGCTCTTTGGATCCGTAGATGAAATTAATTTGCAATCCATCACATGAGGATGCATTAATGTAGGAAAAAATGGGTGATAAAAATTGCAATTTAGTTTTTGTTTGGAGCAGTTGCAGCTTTTTGAAGAAGCAGCTGTGAAGCTGTTGAAGAAGCCGTTGTTAAAAAATTGTGGTGGTTGTTCAAAACAAAAAAAAAAAAATATTTGGAGAAGGCAAACTGTAGGTTTTTTGCAGCCGTTTTCTAGCAGTCATCACAGGTAGCCAGGTCTGGTGGCAAAACGCAGCTTTCAGACCGAATGGACCTCACATATTTGATAGTCTATATGGTTAAGCACGATACCACAAATAATATACTATCCTGAAGGATAAACATATCATTTGTTAGTAGGCTTAACCACATAAACTAAAGAGTTTGTGTCGTCCGTTTGGTTTGCGAAACTTATTTTATAAGCCAACAAGCTCTCCTATTTAATATGGGAGATTAAATATGATTTATATTAAGTTGAGTTCTTAAATTCCCTATAGAGGCAAACCCCAAGCCCATATAGTTAATTACATTTTACGCTATTGAAATCACCTAGGAAGACTCAATTAAGATTAGTGGTTCTATCTTCAAAATTTCAAAGTTTGAGTTTCCAAGATTGGACGTAGAAAAATCAAAAGGGAAGAGCTCAAATTAGGAACATTTATTTTTAAGAGTCAAAGTAGTGAAAGATATGAGATGTCACAGATCCGAGGGGGAATCTTGGTGACTTCCCAACTATCATACTATTAGACTTTTATTTTGAAGAGATGTTATTTGATGTTTAATCCCACGAATTTTATTATTTATGACTTATACTCGCACGATACCCGATTGTGCAAATGACCTACGAAGATAGAAGGATTTAAGTCGTACCGAACGACCTCAGAATCATAAAGAGAATTAGGACTTATAATGCACAATAGAGTGGTGCAAAGGCCTAAAACGGAAATGAGGATTTATGTCGTACCAAGCGGACTACCTCGAAGTCATATGTTTGTTATTTATTCTATGAAGATTTCAACTGAGGATCGTCCTTCACTTCGTTGTTGTGGTCTCGATCGCCGCCCTCCGTTCGCTCGCTTCCTCGTTCTGCTTCCTAAAAGGATACTCCAAGATCCTTAAAATATCGATCATAGGCTCAGGGTGTTGGTGTGTATATACATACAATTGTTATGTCAGTGGCTTGCCATAGGATGCCTACTAAATTGGGTGTCCTACTGTCCTCTATCCTAAAGACTCCTGTAAGTTTGTAGAAGTAACATAAATAA